TTATTGGACTTCTGTGCAAATCACAGTTTGGCCATAACGAACACCCTGTTCGAACATAAGAGTGTCCATAAGTGCACGTGGCACCAGGACGCTCTAGGCCGTAGGTCGATGATCGATTTTGTAATCGTATCACCAGACCTGCGACCATATGTTCTGGACACTCGGGTAAAGAGAGGGGCTGAGCTGTCAACTGATCACCACCTGGTGGTGAGTTGGATCAGGTGGCGGGGGAGGACGCTGGACAGACCTGGTGCACCTAAACGCGTAGTGAGGGTGTGCTGGGAACGTCTAGCAGAGGCCCCAGTCCGCGAGATCTTCAACGCACACCTCCGGCAGAGCTTCAACAGCATTCCGAGGGAGACTGGGGACATTGAGTCCGAATGGACCATGTTCAGCGTCTCCATTGCCGAAGCTGCTGCATTGAGCTGCGGCCGCAAGGTGGTTGGTGCCTGCCGTGGTGGTAATCCCCGAACCAAATGGTGGACACCAGAGGTGAAGGGAGCCACCAGGCTGAAGAAGGAGGCCTATCGGGCTTGGTTAGCCTGTGGGACTCCGGAGGCAGCCGACAGGTATCGACAGGCCAAGCGGAATGCGGCTCGGGCAGTGGCTGAAGCAAAAACTCGGGTGTGGGAGGAGTTCGGAGAGGCCATGGAAAAAGACTTTCGGACTGCCTCGAAGAGATTCTGGCAAACCGTCAGGTGTCTCAGGAGGGGAAAGCGGTGCTCTACCTGCACTGTGTATAGTGCTGGGGGAGCGCTGCGGAAGGAATACTTCGAGGACCTTCTTAATCCCACTGACACGTCTTCGGAGGAGGAAGCAGAGTCTGGGGATGAGGGGGATGACCCCCGTCTGGCCCATTGCTACGGGCCATTCGATCCCTATACAACCGATTGCAAGAGCTTGGTTTGCATTGCCGGCAATAAGTCGGACTCGTTCGGTGGGTGATGGGCCCAGGGCTGCCCTTTGTCTCCGGTTCTGTTCATAATTTTTATGGACAGGATTTCTAGGCGCAGCCAAGTGGCGGAGGGCTTTCGCTTTGGTGGCCTCAGAATCTCATCTCTGATTTTTGCGGATGATGTGGTTCTGTTGGCTTCATCGGGTGAGGCCTCCAGCTCGCACTGGAACGGTTCGCAGCCGAGTGTGAAGCAGCGGGAATGAGGATCAGCACCTCCAAATCTGAGGCCATGGTTCTCAGCCGGAAAAGGGTGGAGTGCCCACTCCGGGTCGGGGATGAGTTCCTGCCCCAAGTGGAGGAGTTCAAGTATCTCGGGGTCTTGTTCGCGAGTGATGGGAGAAGGGAGCCGGAGATCGACAGACGGATTGGGGCTAGGCCAACAAAGAACCACATCATCCGCCCAAAAATGAGAGAATGAGATTCGTGGGGCAGAAGGACAGTAGTGAAAGCACCAATCTGCGGCCACTGGTGGTCTGCGCCTAGAAATCCTGTCGCAATAAGATGAAAATTATGAACCATGAATCGAGGACAAAGGGCAGCCCTGTGGGCGGAGCCACGGCCCACCAGTAAGGAACGACGTACCGACTTATTGCCGGAAATGTGCGAACCAAGCTCTTGCAACGTGTAAAGTGATCTTAGTGAATGGGAGTCTTGAGGGAAGAGGAAGTGAGTGTAAAACAAAAAGCCCTTAATTTACAAGAGAACCCCTTGACTTCCTTGTTGAAATTCTCCCTAACAGGAAAAGCTGGGGCCATGTGACGGTGGATGGGGGATAACATTTTTCTTCCCTATCCCCCTCATCCCCAGACATCTGCTTTACAAACCAAACTCCTCTATAGACGATTGTGTCATGCCAAGTTGGGGACAAAGTTAACATGCAGGAAAATCTCGAAATGATGTTTGTGTCCATAATTCCGTCAGCGCTCCCCTGTGAGGAGCACTAAATACACATAAAGTATTGCAAGGTAAGGTTGCACCTGCTGTTGTTTCCCTCCTAGACACCTTTGGCACGGGAAGGACTCGTCTCTAGTAAAAAGTCGTCTGTCGAGGGCCAAATAAGTTGATTGACTGCAGTCCGAATTGGTAGTCTTTTTCTTCCACATACTTCAGGGCCTCTTCGGTGAACTACCCTGTTCCCGACACCCCAAGTTTTTTTGCTTTTTCATGTCCTACTTGCCCTGAGCCCATTTTGTTAAATGGTCCTGACGTCCCACGCTTCCCTGAGCTACATCCCAACCTGTCTTATTGTAATGTTAGTTTTTATCATGATAGCCACCTGTTCCGTGGTCGTGTGTCCTCCTCGAGAGCATGTAAAGATACCCATTCAGATCATTAACCAAAAGGTCCTGCCCAGATTAACAGAATTTAGGACACCTACTTCTGTTGCGACTGTGGCAGTGATCGTTGGGCTCCTTCACCCTCTAATGTTGGTTGTTCCGAACCAAATCTATGTGTTCTAATAAGAAGAGCGTGGTATTACCACGTCATAAGACGTCATTCATAGTTGTCATCCATACCACCCACTCTGCCATACAAAGGACCGATCCAGTGGTACCCAATGCTTGCAAATAGCGTTTCAGCCAGTTTTCAAATGGCAAAGTGGAGATGGGCATTAATCTGAAACATGGTCCTGTAATATCGAGACAAATTATTCCTACATGGTTCCTAAAGTCGATCCATGCGTGTTAAATAATGTCATCTCGCATGATCTAGACCTCTTACTATCTTCGTGAGAAGCGTCAATATTCGCGAGAAGAGTAAGCCTCTGCAATAGAAACAGTGTCCAGACAACTAACGCCCACCACAGTTCAGAGGTGCACCGGGCTGTCTGTCTAGTTGTCTCCCCCACCACCGCATGGATCCGTAACTGAAGCAGTTTGTGGCCTGTGTTGAAATCAGTATTAGTATTCTAGCCTCTCAGCTCCATGCTCTCTCTGTAAATGGACGTTACTCGGGAACCAAGGTGTCAAAGATTCAAAGATATACCCTATTAAACCCTGGTTCTCACTTGTATCTTAGATGATAAACGATTACGAAAAAGAGGAGGTGCGAAGAGAAACTGTGGTCAAACTACTTCAATAAGTCTAATCCCGTATTTCCCTATTTTGGCTCCTAACTCAGAGAAGTGTTCAAGGACACAGTTATGCCACGTCCTGGCACTTATGAAGTATACTACCTTCTTATCCTATCAGTGTTGGGAAGTTTATTTAAAAGTAAAAAAATTCGTAAACATAGAGTTAGTTTGGTTAATCCTAGGGTTAGTAAACCTAAGACTTGTTGATTTGCACCGTTACGATGTTAAATCCTCTCATACTTATATGAGCATTGAGAATCTTCCGCTCGGGGTCATGATCAGGATTTCGAAGGGGCACAGTTCCTTCATCCGTCGGCCGAGTGATGTTAACTTCACCTCTCACTAGTATTGGTTTACTTCTGCCTGTTAGTTTGACTCCATTTAAGTGACAAATGACAATCCTTTAAGAAAATCTCACCGAACAATAAAAGACCGAATCGAAACATGTGAGGTGCGTCCATGTGAAGAAAGTGCACCTTTCATTATTTAAACACACCACTGCCCTCCTCGACCTTTTTTCTTCTACTAACTCTTTCCCATCCTATTTACATAACCAATCCAGTGCTTTCTTCGCCATCCCCCGACTGCAAACAATTCATATGTCCCGGCCACATCTAAAAACACCAACCTCTCCCCGCTCAACATCATACGATTACCCCCAGGCGTCTGACAGCGCCACCGGCGCGTATCCACCTCCCTAGCTTCTCTCTCCACCAACAGAGTCCGCCTCCATTGTTATCTGACACACACCCCAACCACACCATGGGACTTCAAGAACAAGAGCCTTGAATAATACAGGAAACAATTAAGCTAACACAAAGTCAGTAACTTGTAAAGAATCCGCACCAACTCCTGTCAACATCGTGACAACTACCATGTCTTGTGCCTATTTCATCTACACCTGCTCTTGTCATCTTCTCGCTGTCTCCGCCGCACGCATATCAGGTCGCACTGGGAACAAAACACAATCTCAATTCCACTCGTGGAAGAACCCACAACCTAACAATAAACCAATTGTCCATTTGCGAGTGCATCCAGTGTGCTAGTAGAGTCTGCGTATGACCAATGTTAACAATTTGTGGTGATAATATATATCATGTAATTCGTCTCATCTGCCTTATTTTTTAGTATCTCTGCCGTTGCATCCATCAAGCCCACATGGAGTACAAAGCTCGCCTTAGATGCCGCATGTTCTTAGATCAGTGAAAGACAGTGTGAACGAAACTTAAGTTCTTGAGAGTCCGCGTACATAACAAACCAAAGACGGAGGACTGGTTCCAGAGGCGCCATATACTATATGGCCTTTATCCATGAACCTGCCTTAGAGGTGATAGCGTCGGCCTATTCAGCCCACCAATTTTCACGAACACTTATATAGCCGGTATATTCCACCTTTGCTTTGTCATCCTTGAAAAGGTGTGTTAGCTCTCTTTACATATATACTCTCTGCATGCACTAACTTCCAGAGCCCAAGCCATGCGTAGAGGTGAGCCCGACTATATCTAGCCGGTACCTCTCAACCTCACGCACTAACTCAGGCTCCTTCCCCACCAGAGAGGTGACATTCGGCTGCCAAGACATTGCCAGTCTTGGCAGCCGGGGATCAGTCCGCCAGGGCCTCCGCTCCTGGCCGCCACCCGGCACACAATGCACCCGACCCCTATGGCGCCTCCTGCGGGTGGTGGGCCTGCGGGAGGATGCGCCCATGTCTCCTCTTCGGGCTGTTTTAAAGTAAATTTAAAATAAACATTCAATGATAAAAATTAAAGCTGTCAGATGTAGAAATTAAAATCTGTTACTTTTTTGTTGTTGTTGTTTAACCAGGAAGTGAAACACTTGAGAATGAGACTGTCCTTGGCCAAGTCAGGCAAACCAAATGACTGGTAAGATAGTTTAAGATTTTAGTTGAACACCATCTATGGGGCTGCGGCATAAGCTGGCATCACTCAGTCATTGCGCATGTTACTCTACCTATTTCATGGTATAGAGATCCCTGCTTCGTCATTACTGATTTCCTGGAGCTCGGCATTTGTATCTTCATGAGGTTGTCACAGCACTGTTTCCAATGGCCTGCAAAAATAATAATACAAATATTATACAATTATGTAGCAGATGAATAGAAAAAAATTCAATCCAAAATTGACATCAGCAATTATCTTGTCAAATTATTTTGAAATTAGCTGGCAAGCATGTTTGTTATTGCCCTGAATGGGTGTTTAAAAGCATATCAGTAGTATAATTGTTTGTATTGGCTAAAAAGCAATATTTCAGTATTGACCAATATTAAACCAGATTTACACTGTACAGTAATTTCAGTATTCTTGAGCAATGAAAGACATTCTCATCTGATGACACGGTCTTGATTTACCTGCTGGACAAGAGGCAGCGCAGACTGAAGCCACTAAAAAAACAAAAACTCTTAAAACTGCAAGGCATCATCAATCAAGCTTATCTAGACAAAGAGGCCTTTTTTTCATGACGGTGTTGCACTCAGATTTGGCTTGTGTGCACACTGTCTGTATGCAATTAGAATTAAATAAGCTTATGCTTATTTTCCCTATTTAACATTATTTATTATGTTCATGATTGTTTAACATAACATAAGAGATCTAATATGTAATTTAATCACAATTACATATTAGATGTACAAGGTGCTCTGTCGTTGCATCTTTTTTTGCACGTTGCAGCCCACATGATGGTTCTCTGAATACTTTCTTTCAAAACTCGATAAAATTTATAAATAAATCCACACTGACAGATCACTGACAAACAAGAACTCCCTTGTTCACATCAACAAGTGACGTAATGTCACATTCTCCTTCTCACAATATCATTGCAGCAACATGTTCTGCAGTTGCCTTATTAAAAGAAGATTACAATGAAGATTAACAGTAATAGCCCTGAGGTATGCAGAATGTATTTTTATTTAGAAACACACCTTTTTTAATGATCATGATTTCTACATGCATGACCTTTCCAAAGAAAGACAGACAGGACTCTCCCTGTGTATGTGGGATTAGTCAAATAAATGTGCTGATGACCCTCCCTGCTTGGTTAATCTGTGAACAAGGCCACATGGACACCTCTAGAAAGAACCCGGGTGACTCCAGGCCTCGTCATTTAATCCAATTAAGCCCTAGACACATCTCATGGAAAATCACCTGATCGCGTGTGGAGTTCAATGTTGCATCTCTGTTTTGGCTTCTAATTATATATGCAGAAGAATTTAGTTGTCTTTTAAGTTTAAATATAGGTTATTAGACTGATGGCAGTCTAAAATGAAATAATACAACAAAGTATGTGAGCTGTTTAATACTTTCTCTGTCTACTGATGTGTGAAGAGTCACATACCAAACGGTGTCTATAAACTCAGCTAGCGCACTCACTTTGCACGTGAACAAAACCCTTTCAGTTTGACACCAGGAAGAGAGACAAGATAAATCAGAGGATTATGTCAAGAAGGGCATTTGGTGTAAAATCTATCCCGATTCACCGTGGGCACCCGTTTGGGAAATACCAGCGTAAAGCGTTAAACATCTCACGATGTACAATATTACAAATACACGTCAGCTGGTCTCTTGACTTTCTATAATGTCACTTGCAGCATTGTGGATACAGGTGGAACGATATGTTGATGCAGTAGATAACCCTTACACTCGTCCCCATGTATAGATAAATATGTTATTGCATTTTTTCCCTTTTTTTCCAGATAAGAAACAAACTGAAACACCTTATCAGATTTCAGTTCAACATAAGAGAGATTTTTTCTCCATAACACAAAGTACAAAAAATGTCACGCAAATAAATCTGATTCTATGAACAGCATTAATAAATGCAGGTAGGTAGCAGGTATCAGCATGTTATATAGAATAATGCTATGTACAGATGTACAGTCGGGTCCATAAATATTGGGACATCGACACAATTCTAACATTTTTGGCTCTATACACCACCACAATGGATTTCAAATGAAACGAACAAGATGTGCTTTAACTGCAGACTGTCAGCTTTTATTTGAGGGTATTTACATCCAAATAAGGTGTAGGAATTACAACAGTTTGCATATGTGCCTCCCACTTGTTAAGGGACCAAAAGTAATGGGACAAAATATGAACCATAAATCAAACTTTCACTTTTTAATACTTGGTTGCAAATCCTTTGCAGTCAATTAAAGCCTGAAGTCTGGAACACATAGGCATCACCAGACACTGCGTTTCATCCCTGGTGATCTCTGCCAGGCCTCTACTGCAACCGTCTTCTGTTCCTGTTTGTTCTTGAGGCATTTTCCCTTCAGTTTTGTCTTCAGCAAGTGAAATGGATGCTCAATCGGATTCAGGTCAGGCAATTGACTTGGCCATTACAAAACAGTCCACTTCTTTTTCTTCAAAAACGTTGGTTGCTTTTGCAGTATGCTTTAAGTCATTGTCCATCTGCACTGTGAAGCGCCGTACAATGAGTTCTGAAGCATTTGGCTGAATATGAGCAGATTTTATTGCCTGAAACACTTCAGAATTCATCGTGCTGCTTTTGTCAACAGTCACATCATCTATAAATACAAAAGAACCAGTTCTACTGGCAGCCATACACGCCCATGTCATGACACTTACACCACCATGCTTCACTGATGAGGTGGTATGCTTAGGATCGTGAGCAGTTCCTTTCGTTCTCCATACTCTTGTCTTCCCATCACTCTGGTACAAGTTGATCTTGGTCTCGTCTGTCCATAGGATGTTGTTCCAGAACTGCGAAGGCTTTTTTAGATGTCGTTTGGTAAACTCTAATCTAGCCTTCCTGTTTTTGGGGCTCACCAATGGTTTACATCGTGTGGTGAACCCTCCGTATTCACAATGGTGGAGTCTTCTCTTGATTGTTGACGTTGACACACATGCACCTACCTCCTGGAGAATGCTCTTGATCTGGTCAACTGTTGTGAAGGGTGTTTTCTTCACCAGGGAAAGGATTCTTCGGTCATCCACTGCAGTTGTTTCCTGGTCTTTTGGTGTTGCTGAGCTCACCAGTGCGTTCCTTCTTTTTGAGAATGTTGTGTATAGAGCCCAAAATGTTAGAATTGTGTCGATGTCCCCATATATTTATTGACCTGACTGTAAACCTGATATGTAGCCTCCATCCATTCATAAGAATGGAGACTGAGTTTGATTCAATTTCACTTTGTTTGTCTAGCTCTATTGTATTAAAACACAGGTGTGACTGCAACTATGTTAATCTGTATTTTCTTTGTCAGTCATGCAAAGAAATATGAGGAGGTGGCATACTGCATGTGTTGCATATTTACTGTATGAATCTGCACCCACTGATACAGCAAACCTTGTAATGTGTTAGTTAACCACCAGCTTAAATGCAGAGGCCTCTTGAAGCAGCCATTTAGTCTTTCTCCCAGCTTTCCTGCCTTCTCACCATTGTCCTATCAAAATAAAAGCTAAAAAGCACCGCCCAAAAATAAGAATGAAGTTAGAATGAAGCTAATTATGAGTTACTTGATTTCCACGCTGCTACTTTCCGATTTGATTTTCTTTTTGTGCTCCTGGAACCTTATCAAAAACAAGATTGTGCATCTTGGAATAATACTTTTACGTTTTGGCAAAGCCCTGCTATAACTTAGCACTAGGCATGAAAACCTACAACATTCTCAGTAATCAGGCCTCAACACGATACTGCAAGCAACTATCAACTATCTTATGTATGCAGACTGAAAAAAAAAGTGGGGAAAACAACTACCGTGGCTCCGCCCAAAGACGATAAAAGTTAATGAAATCATATCGTCACTTTTTCCGAACATCCAATTGAAACCAGAAGTTTTTACAGCCGATATACACGTGCATACTAATAAACTGATTGTGATATGAGGTTATTTCACCTACCGGTTGCACCTTCTTTGTTTAATGAAGATATAAATGCTGTCTTTTTTGTTTTTAAACTCCTTATGTTTCGAAAAAGCATCATAAAAAATCCAAAGTTGCAACAGAACAACAAATCGTGTGATCAGTTTCAGATGTCTATGGGCTTGTGAACTGTGCTGCACATGTGCTTTTTGGTGCATGCACACCTCCAAAACATTTCATTACAATCATCCTGCAAGTTTGATATCGTATTTTGGGGGATTATGCAAGCTTGGCAGAAGTGTGAACTTTCTTTGTTCAAAGAGTGTTCACACTTGTTGGTTTAGTTTGGTGCACACCCTGTTCTTGTATAAACGTACTCATAATTTCGTTGAAGTAAAAACAGGACAGACCAAACATCCCTGTAACGTCTCCCTTGCAAATCCAGCGTCATTCTGTGTAAAGATTGTATAAGAAGTTCTGCTAGTAGGTCATGCCAGGGATTTGACTGTCCGTGCTTGTAAAGCCCAAAGAACTTAAAAAAACAAAAAAACAAGCAAAAGAAACAAAGAGTTCATTCAGGCCTCACTCATGCTATAGATGTGCTGACAGAGGGCCTTCCTCCAGTGCTGTGTGTCTTCAAGTGTGCATGTGGTAAGCACATAAGTTATGTCCTCCCTTTGGCGTTGTGTATTGATGTATATTTTCTGGCAATTGGCAGGATCTCTGTCAGACATACAGACAACGGTATCCTGGGAGGAAAAACAAAGAATAAGCTGAGACACTGCAGGTAGCCTCAACGCTACAGCTGATCTACTGAAATACCTTTTGTATTACCTAAATGGCTTCATCACAGGCAATAAACTGCTCATCACTGCATTCCATACTGCATTAAAAAAGCTGAATGGTCATTGTTAGCTAATAGAGAGAAATTCCATGGTATGTTTCCATGATGCTCACCTGCAAAAGCTGCCAAGCTTCATGTTGTGGGTATGCTGCTCTGAGCATACCCACAACACAAAATCACCATTTAATTGTATCACATGTTAAAATTGAGCTTCTCAAAAACAAGGCTCCCTGAAAATCTCACACGTAAAGAGAAAATCTATACTCAAGTGTTTGCAGTTCAGATTTTCTTCAGTTGAACCTAGTCTGTCTTGTGGTGAGTCTATCCTTGCAACAGTGGTAATTCTGATACACCAACATCTTTTTAAAAAGAGCTCGTAATCTCAGTGTTGTTCCCTGCTGAAACAGAAAATTATTTTTGGTTTTAAAAGGGTAGAAATAAGGGGGGATTCAAGGAGATGCTATCTTTTTTTTTTTATCTCTAGCTTTGAACATACATGACTGATTTTAATTAGAGCTATCTATATAATTTTAAAAAAGCTGTTTTGAACTGTGCAAAATATTTCAGTCTCCTCACCCTTACAACACTTTTTCCTCTCCACTAAATAATTCGTCAGTGCACTCTAGTGGCCTTGGTGTGTAATTATAATCAACACTGGCAAAATGCTAAATGAATCACTGCCTTTATTCATCAGACTTTGCTTGTTTAGAACCAACCTTTGTGATTGGAATCTCAAGCAAGGGATTGTCCTCAGACTCCAGGCCTTCTTGACTTTGATAACAGAGAAGGGCTTGCCTCTTGAGGACACCATAGACAGTTTCAGAATAATTACAGTCCTCTTCTGAGCTGAGCTGAGCAAGAGCAGTGAGAAAAGTCATAATGTGAATAATAATGATAAATGAATAACAATATTGAACAATTAAAAAAAAAAATTCTGTCACCTTGATTTTGATTTGGCCACTTATCACTGGCTGAATCATGCACAGAGGCTGAGCAACTAAGCAACAACACATACTTCCGTACAAAGGCAACCAGAATGGATTATCCTCTGGCAAAACATTTAAAAGGATTAGGAATTTTAAAAAGATTCATTATTTATGTATATTTAGATTTTAAGGAGGAGAGAGGAGAGGAAATGACAGGACAGGAGACTCACCTGTCGCTGAAAGTGATAAATCGTGCGTTTTGAAACCTTCCCGGACATGCTCAATTCTCAGGGTTGTGTGAGCCAAAAGGTTATACTTAGGTCCCCTTGAGAAAGAAAGAACTTTGCACAATCATTCTTTTTTTTGTTGTTGCTTTTTTTTCCAAGCGACACCATAAAATGTTTCCTTATAGTGTCATACTCACAGTGCCAACAGGTCAGGTGATAATGTTGGTGGCACGCTTCCGGATCTTACATCTCCACTGGAAATGGATCCGCAAACAGCTGCAGACTCGAATGCAGCACGGATCTTTTTCCCAGAGGAGCATCCCAAAGAGCCCCCCAGACGGCTCACTCTCCAGGATCCTATGGCCCCAGGGGAGAATTCATCGACCACGCAACTGCTGTACAGCTCAACGCGAAGCTGAAACCCTGGACTTACCTCGTTGCTGCTCACACAGAGAAAATGCATTTACTTTTTTTTTTCAACAAAAGCTTGCGAATGTGTTTTTAATGAGGATGAGAAAGCAGAAACTTAGCTTTCAAACTGAAATAAAAAACACTTGACTCACAATATTATAGTGTCTTCAAAACAGATGTCAGTTAATGTCCTGTCTACCATCACCAGGTCAGTTTCATGGATCTCTGTGCCACACTGGATCAGGCAGAATACGGCACAGCGATGTAGTTCTGAAAGTAAGAACTTTAGGTAAACACTTGTTATATATTGGGAATGAAGAATATTTTGTGTGTTTAGCCAGTACATAGGGATTTAGTGCACATAGTGTAAACCAAAAAATGCACCAGATGCTATCACATGCTCTTTTTCATTTTGACTTACCTCCTTTGTTTTTGAAGTACTCTGAGTCTTTCCACATGAGGGGGATTCGCAGGTCTAGAGAGTGCACATCATGGTGTTAGAAATGTAAAAGGCTAGTTGAAGTACTTTTAGAAATCTTTTAAAACACACCTGAAAGTGCTACTTTTCCTGTACATGGCACCAGATCGTCAGATGGCCTGCAGTAAATCACGTAGTATGTCAATCAACCACTCAGAATAAGGTTAGGTTTGGGGTTGGGGTCCATTTAAACAGTCAGCTTAGCTGAACTTTAATTGCTAGCTAGAGGCATGGATTTTTGCACAAACATGATTTGTTTCTATTCTATGATACAAGTGTATATTTACATCATCCTCAGTATATAGTTCAATTATCTGACCTGCATCCCACACTTTGTAGGATTTGTACTTTCCTCATCCTCTGTAGTTGGCTGAGCAAGGCCAGAATGCGGGTATTGCAGGTTAGGAGGCTCTTGGAGGCCTCCAGGGCCTGCTCTCTTTGGGAACATGCTGCCAGTAGCTTGCAAGCTCCTTCACGCATGCGTACCTCCCTCTCAATGTGCTGAAGCACTGCAGTATCCTGCCACAGATTTGTGTAAAAGAAAAGACAATGATATCAGAATTCAAAGGGCTACATCTTACATCATTTTAGAACTACGATCTTATGTACATTGTCGAAGATTTTGTGCTATTGACTTTAATTACCAGCTGTTACATAAGAGCTCAGAAGATGTTGGTGCATCACTTTAATCCTTGGATATATAAGCAGTGCCAAGGTTCTTGTCAAAGGGTTGTGTTAACAAGGATGTTTTTGAGAAGTATAAATATAGTAGTGTGTTTCAAGCACAAAGTCCATGTGCAGCAGATTAAATTCCTTCAAGGAATTCTTTATGCACCATCCACTTAGAAGCACATTTCCTAATGAGCTTTTCTCTGTTTGACAGTACTGGTTTATTACTCCACAATGTGGGCATTACAATATAAAGATCTAAAGTGCACGTGAGTAGACACACATCAGGAAGCATGACTATCAACAGTAAATTTCCAATCATTATGTACTTATTGCTGTTAACTATCAGACCTGTTTGACAAAGAAGTCTTATTCACACTCCTCTGAAGTGATTAACAAGTCATCATTTGAGGTGAAGTACAGCTTTAATGATCAGAGGACTGTTGCATAATTCAGTCATGTTTTCTGAGTCTAAGCCTTGTTGGTATGTGTAATTCACTATGAACAGAGCTCAAATAATTAAACAAACTCTAGTTTTACAGTTGTTTTTCTCCCAGATCTAGAAATATGTTTTAGTAAATTAATTTTTCTTTCACATATAGTACAGTGGCAAATGTGTGCATGGAAAATGGGAAATAGGTTAAGCAATTAATTGAAACTTGCAAACATTAATGGAAATATATTATAAAGGCAAAATCATAGTTTGTGTTATTTTATTGAGCTTGAAAGCCAGTATTCGGTATGACCACTTTTATCCTTGATCACAGCCTCGGTTCTCTTAGACAAGCGTTCTTGTAACGTCTTTGTCTTCAGGAATAGCTCTCCGGGCTTCTTGAAGAACAATCAAAGCTTTTCTTTGGATGTGGGCTGCTTTTTGTTCTGTATCAAGATGATCCCACACTGCTTCAAGGATCTTGAAGTCTGGGTTCAGAGGAGGCCAATCCATGACTGACAGCATATCATTATTTGTTTTTGTAAACTAAACTAACTAAAAATGTCAATGTCACAGGCCAGTTTTTGCATTGTTTGGCATAGCTACAGCTTTTCTTCCTGTATTCTCTTCCTTAAGAATTGGTGATTCTTACTCTTTATTTCTGATTAAGTTTCAGTGAGCAGTAGATGGATCATCTGAAGGGCCACCTGCATGTCTCAGGTCCTGTGTCAAGTCTTTGCTTTATTTTATTCCCCCTTTCTTAATGAATTCTGTTTTATGCTGTAGATAGTTTTTAGGCCTGCAACATCTTCTTTTATGCTCAGCTGGTCCAGTTTCCTCAATTTCTTTGAGGTCACACTTCACACCATGCTAGCTAAATAGTTTTGGCATTCTGATGTGTTTTTGCAACAAGGTGCTAAAAATACCATTTAAAATTGTTTTGGTTTTTTTGATAGGCTGTCTGTTATGCATGGACATCATTCCTTGTTCAGATGTTTATAGATCTATGAAGTTAACAATTAAGGTTACATTTTACACCTAGATTTTTAATATCATCAAAAGTAATGTATCAAATCACTATTTACATTAATCTAAAAGTCAGTCAATATTAAAATAATATGGTTTTACTAACCTGCGTATTATTATTCATCTTCCTTGTGTGCAGGACGTAAGAGGACTGTTCCACCACCGCTGAGTCAGGAAGTACACTGAGCGAACTGATAATCTCATAGCTGAGTGAAACGGCGTTAAGAGTGGACCTGCAGACGGAGCAGTCAGTTGCTCAACAGAGAGATCAAAACAGTCTTAAGCCTCCCTACAAGAGGTTGCAGCATGAGGGATTAAAGTCTCAAACGTTTTAGTCTTTTAGCCATCAGCTCCAGCATAAGTACCACAAACACCTAAATATAGAGCAATTCAAACACGGGCAAACCATAAAATATAAGAGAACTATTTTTGTTCAGAACAATGATACCGTTGGGGAACAACAATAAACAAGGGAACATTGTAAATATGCATCCAGTATCCAAAACTACATGACATATTTGCCAACCTGTTATAGATTATCATGAAATTAATGGCGACACTCAAAATAAACCAGGGCTTGTCAATTAAACACATTTTTGGCTACCTTTGTGGCAAACTAGGGAGAATTACTGCATAGCAATGAGGTGATCCTGAAGTAGTGTGCAGGGCTTCACTCTTGTTAAAATTTACAAAGAACTGGTAAGTAATGGTGAAGCGGTACTTAAGTAATGAGAACTAATCAGCAGCACATGTTGGGGTAACATATAATACATGATTAGCAGTTTTCCATCCATCCATCCATTTGCGTCCGCTTATCCTGTTCAGGGTCGCGGGGGGCGCTGGAGCCTATCCCAGCTGTCATAGGGCAAGAGGCGGGGTACACCCTGGACAGGTCGCCAGTCTGTCGCAGGGCCAACACACAGAGACAGACAACCATTCGCACTCACATTCACTCGCACATTCACACCTATGGGCAATTTGGATTAACCAATTAACCTATCCCCACTAAGTGCATGTCTTTGGACAGTGGGAGGAAGCCGGAGTACCCGGAGAGAACCCACGCAAACACGGGGAGAACATGCAAACTCCTCACAGAAAGACCCCGGCCTGATGGTGGAATTGAACTCAGGACCTTCTTGCTGTGCGGCAACAGTGCTAACCACCGTGCCACCGTGCTGCCCGATTAGCAGTTTTAATGCCACAAATTATGATTACTTGGGTTTAGCAGCTTGTCATTATCTAGTTAGTACAAGGTGCCTGGATCAGCAGTTGTAAGGGACGTGATGCTCAACATGTTAGCTTACAGTTAGGTCCTAACTCATTCTTAAGCATCTTTGTTATTATTTGCTTTTTTGTTTCATCAGCAGGCTGTAAACCCATTTTCAACAGCAAACTAGCATGCATGTACATTAAGACAAGACAAATCTAGGTGTAATACTTTTTATTCAGATCTTACAGAATTACATCTTTCACTTTCAGTGAGCCAATGTAACCCTTAGGGTAGAAAACACAATGTGTTTTTATGAAACAAGAAGTCAAACGGTGCATAACTGTGTGGTACAGTCACTATTTCAACACTATATATAAACATATTAACATACAGCAGAAACTCTTTGATAGTTTGATTATTCTGTTTTGAATGGGTTCCTTTTTTTTTTTTTTTTAAACAGAATTTCTGTCTTTATTTTCCACATATGTTACATTTCTAAAGTACACAGAAGAGACATTAAAAAAGGCTTTACACTGAAATGTACAACTGTACATGGTCTTAATCTACCGAACTGTGTTTTTCTTCCTGAGGTCAAAGTCATCTGAAAATTAATCAAGAACGGACAAAAAAATATTAAAAAAAAAAAAACAGAAGTTGCTACCATGTACAGTATTTACAAATTCACAGTTGTATCAAAAAGAAGAAAAAAAATAGGTAAGACATCTGAGGTTTGAAGTATTTTTTATGAAAAATTCAGCAAAAGCTGCCACCACTTCAGTCAAACTATGAGTCACAAATGTTGTTATCCATTTGTACAGTGCTTTAATATTTAAACTAACGGAGGTTTAAAATGTTGTTTCAACAAACTGATACTCTAGTAAATGTTTGCAAATGTGAAACTGCATTCATCAGTATGGTGAATAAAGAATTAAAACTAAAAGCAAAAACAACAATAACTTTTCAGTTATAAATTATTATTTACAGAAATAAAAATTTGAAAAGCCAACAAATTCCACTTCTTAATCCAACTACGTAGGTGGCTTTTACCCCTCATCCACTTCTGTGAAAATGTTGGTTAAGAAGTACTGAGACACACTGGTGGGCTCCTCTTCAAGAGCACAGCTGTCCACACAGTCATCCTGCTAAGAAGGAACAAAACAGAGCACATCTCCATGTGAGCGTGTATGAATTACACTGAATGGAAAAACAGCTTCAATCCACTTGTACCTTTCTTACCTCTGTGCACTGTGAAGTGCTAGGATCTGGGCTCCTGGGACTTTGATCACAGGTCTCTCTGATGTTCACTGCTGTTTGTGTTAGCAGTGTAATCGATGCTGGACGGGTTTCTTTTAGTGTCTGTGTCAAACTTTGTGTGGAAGGGACATCATGTGATGTGGAGGCTATAGGCTCTAGCAAAGATTGTTGTCCTTCAGTCAGTGGCGTTTTAAGCTTAGATCGCTTGGAAACTGGTTTGCTAGGTGGAAGATTTTGTGGAGGGCTGGTTTTCTTTGTTACAGAAAGCGAGGAAAGAGAGCCTTTGGGTTTTCTGTTAGATATTAGAAAAAATTAAACGTTTCTCAATAATTGATAGAAGCCAATGTGAATTTTTTTCAAAATGAAACCGTTCTTCACCCACCTCACACGCCTCTGTGAAGTTTGAGCTTCTAAGCTGCTGGTAGTGCCTTTTCCATCTGTCACAATCTCCTCATCACGGCTGCATCTTCCCCTTTGTGCTTCCGTGACAGCATCACTGGCTTTTGGCTCCTGGGTGGTGTTTGTTTGGGTAGGCGCTGACTCCGCTGCTTTCATTGACTTGGTCTTGCTGGTTTGTTTTCTCCTCGCTGCATTAGGTTTAACTTGCAGTTTGGCTGGTTGAAAGATTCATACAGGGTGAAAAAGCAACATTTAATGTTCACATTTAAAAAATGTTCACACATTTTTTAAAGTCCATTTGGTGAGTATGTATTTATCCTCTGCATACCTCTTCTTCCAATACTTGTTTGTCTCTGCTTGTTAAGTGCTGCTTCAGGCTCATTATTGTCCACGGCATCTGGAAACTTTGGTGGATTGTCTGTAGTATGTTCTGCTCAATTAAAGCACAAAATTAAAGTTACACAGCATGAATCAGCATGACAATCAGTAGCTTGAAAGTGACAGAATAATGCAGTCACTCTACCCTGTGGATCCACTGTTTTCTGAATGTTATGATCCTGATGGATGGAAAAACACAGCATGTGAAAAAGATTAAAAAAAAATTAAAAAAATCACATTCTGACCGCCAACAGTTCTTCTTTACAGCTTTACTTACAATCAGTGTAGATGGGTCCAGCACAGTCTCTTCCACACTGATGAGGCCTGTCACACTCTTTATCTCTTTGAACATGGGCATGGGGACATTAGACAGAGACCCCTCTCCTGCCGCTGCCACACTCTCTCCAGAAACACCACTAAAGGATGAAGAAAGGCACAGAATTAGACACCAAACTAAACAGACTACATGCTTGCTCACACAGCTAGTTGATTAAAAGCAGACACAAACCTTGGTTGAGGTATTGATGACTCTGCTACAGAAAGACAAGAGGGGTTCTCAGTTGCACTGTTCACCACCTCCCCTGATGAGGACAGCGGGATCTCAGTGAGAGAGAGGATGAAAAATGGTTCGTCGGGATCTGAAGGCACCTTCTCTGGCAGCACTGAAATTTAAAAAAAGAAAAAAAAAACAATAAATAAATCAAGAAGAACATTATATAAAGTTTACACAAAACTTAAGTGATATGACTGGAACATAATATATGATTGACTTACTCTCTTGAAATATTGGAAAACTTTGGATGTCGTTTGTACTTAATGTTGATGTATTCTAGGATTAGGAGAATTAGAGAAACATTTAAGGAAACTCAAGAGAGACTTTTTCACTCTAAAACTACTGACTACCAGAGAATACCTCTAACTACCCCTGTTAGGATTGGATATATAATATTAACTTGTATTAATTAGCAAGTCTTGACACAACATTAACAGATTTGATTGCAAAGCTTGTAAAAGGATTAAAGACCAGACAAAACAGTCATTATTGAGCTTACCTGGGTAGAAGACACTTGGTTCACAGGAACCAGAGGGACTTCAGAATTACTTGAATGATGGTCATGTTCACTTTGTTGTTCATTAACTTGTGCCAAACATCCAAGAGGAGAGCTGGGATCATTTGGATGGGGATCCTTACCGTCTAAGGTGCCCAGTGCTTTCTCCGAGTCTACAGGTTGAGATGTTACTGAACAGACTTCTACATTTATTGAACAATGTCCTGATGTTAGGTTTTTCTCTGGCAATTTCACAGATTTCTGTGCATCATTATTGTCCCCAGGGTCTTGTGCTGGTGCTATATTTGAGATTGTATCAACATGTTCTGCAGATTTACTGATATCAGCTGGCTGTAGTTTTGTCTGTGTAATTCTAGAGGATGATCCCAAATTGGGTTTCGGTTTGACCTTGGGAAACCGCCGCAATCTTTGTGGGATATTTTGTTCCAAGCTCACTGAGCTTGACATTGGGCCATATACAGCATCTGTCTTTTCCCTCTCTGATGAAGATATTTCCTCTCGGCATTTATTAGAAGAGCCAGATTCCAGTGATGGTTCAGAAACTGAAGCAGCATCAGGACTTTTAAATTCATTTGATTTTTCTGGAGAGGTAGGACTGCAAGATGGCTGGGCTTCTGCATCTTTCATTCTGTAGTCACTTGATTCAGACACACAAGTCTGGCTACAGGGTTTTTCCACAACCTGTGTGTGTATAACAGGGTCTTTTGTGGATTGCGAGTTTGACTGCATAGTTCTTGGTGTTTGTGGCAGGTTTGGTTTGGGTTTGATTTTTTGCAATCGACGACTCCTCAACTGAGAAGCAGCTTCACTCTTTTCTTGATTAAGTGGTGACTCTTGAACAGGTGCAACAAGAACAGCCTGGTGGACGCTGCTCTCTTGGGGTGAGGCTGATTCTGCATCACCTGCTTCCCCAGCTTGTGAGACTGTGACTGCTGAGTCAGGTGCTACCACATTTTTACAACTACTCACAGATGTGGTAATACAAGGCATATTTTTTTCTGGATCAGATGCTGACTTTGTCTCACTGCTGACCTGATCCCTGCTGGGTTCAAATTGTGATGCAGAGAGGTTCACGTTTTCTGAGGCACTCTGATCTGAAGTTGCTGCACCCAAGTCTAGTCTAACATTTGTTAAACTAGACTCCTCATTTGTTGAAAGCTCCTCCGAGAGTGTAGATGTAGAAACTATATTTATTGATGGTTTTAAAACTGAAGCAGGGTCAGCGTTTTCACTCAGTTTTTCAGAGGACAGGGTGCACACTAGTTGTGGTTCCACCTTTGCTGTTGTTTTTTCAGGTGATCTCATGTTTGAAGTTGGGCTTAAGTCCTTCTCTAAAACCGATTTTACAGTTTGAGGTTTAAACCTTGAAATTCTTGAGGACTGTGCTAAATTTGGTTTAGGTTTGACCTTTTGCATTCGACTCCTTCTAGGTGGTGAAGGAGTTGTGTCTTTGTTCACTTCTTTTTGCCTGACAGGTAAATCTTCTGGATGTGAAACACATGAAGGAGGTTTCTCGGCGCTCTCTTGACCTGGTTCTGATTCTGTGCATGGCTCCTGTTCAACTTTTGAGATCGCCAAGTCTGATGTTGCTGAATTATTGAAAACACTCTTGGCTGTTTCAACACAGGACTGAACTTTTTCCTCTGTGGGCTCAGATGACGACTTTGTGTCATTAGTGACTTGATTCCCTTTGAGATCAAACTCAGATTCCAAGTTCTGGCATTGTGAGGGACCGCAATCCGTTATTACTGCACCTAAGTCCGGTCTACCATCTGTGGTTGTTGGTAAAAGAGTATCTACACTTTCTACATGTTTTTCAGGAGAAGCAGAGCATGATGATCGTGGTTGTTCATCCTCTGTGGTTAAGCATCTTGATTGTTTGCGAGATTTGGGGTCTTGCATTGGGATGGGGTCTCTCTCTTCAGGCTGCTTTGTGGTTTGGGATTTAGATCTTGCAGTTCTTGATGTCTGTAGCAGATTTGGCTTGGGTTTGAATTTTGGTAATCGACTCCTTCTAGATTGGCAAGTATTTGAGACTTCACTTTCTCCTTTTTCAGTGACAGATAATTCTCCTGCGTGTGTTTCACCCGTAGGTTTATCACTGCTCTCCTTGGCTGGGGACACAATTGAACATAACTCCTCTTCAACCTCTGTGATGAGTGAGTCAGAGTTTGGCGGATCCTTAAAACCAGTCTCAAAAGGTTCAACATGGGAAGTAAGTTTTTCATCTGTGGGCTCAGATAATGACTTTGTCTCTCTCGTGGCCTGATCCCTATGTGGTTCAAATGTAGATTCAGAAAAGCTGTGACTCTGGAACTGGATTTCTGCAACTGATTCAACCCCAACAATATCTGGTTGACTCTCAGATGGCTTTGCTGTTAGTTTAACTTCAGTAGAGGAAGTGTCAGCTTTTAGCAATGCTGGAGAACAGTCTTTAATGTTAGCAGACTCCCTGTGGCTTTCTTCAGCTGTCCTTGCTGCAGATATATCTGGTTGGGATTTGGATTGTACAGTCCTGGAGACTCGGCTAAGGTTAGGTTTAGGTTTTATTTTGGAAAAGTGACCTCTCTTAGTTTGTAGAGTATTTTTGTTTGAACTCTCTGGATGTGGCTCATCACTGGTTTTAACTGCCATTTCATCACTGACTGTTTTGCTAACTTGTTGTTCCACAGTGGCCACAGTCTCCGATGTCTGTGTGACATCATGATCAAATGCAGACACGGAAGGAGTGGCACTTTTTTCCTGTACAGCAGCATCGGAAACAAGCTCTTTTTCTAGGTGGGTGGTTTCATTCACATCAGCTGATGCCGTCCCTGCAGTTAAATATAATGGCACATTTTACATTGACTGTTGCTCAGTCTAACAACAAATGAAACTGTCCATTATAAGGACTCTTTTCTGTCTTTCTAACCTGTTACATGATCTCGTATGTCTACTTGATTCTGTTCCGACTGAGAGACGTGACTCAGGTTTCCGATGGTCAGCAGGGTTTGAGCAGCCTCGTTGTAGCTCTGATCTTCAGATACTGAAATAAAAAGACAAACAAAAAATATGAACTTTAAATCTAAAACTATATATAAAATTCATAAGCAAATAATCATAAAACATCTTCAACATACCTTCTGCATGTTCTGAAGAAATAAATTCTATAACATCCTGCAAAGCAAACACACATATCATAAATAACACCAAAAGCTCTCCTTTCTATTCACAAAAGCTGTTTTACAAAAACATGAAGTACAGTACACTGCTTCATTTACAATATCTTTTCTACATCTGTACACATCTGTACAGATATGTACATCTACAGTTGACTGTATAGCAAATAAAGATGACATTTTAGGCACCTTTCTAATCTTATTGATCACTGAACTGGTTTACTACAAACCACATTGTTATTTATGCATGTTATAATTTTCATCGATCAGGCATAACATTATAACCACAGGCCTAATATTGTGTTAATCCTGCTTTTGCTGCTAAAACAGCCCTGGTCTGTCGAGGCTTGGACTCCAATAGAACGTCTCTAGCTGTACTGTGGTATCTGGCACCAAGATATTAGCAACTTTTAAGTCCTATAAGTTGCAAATTTGGGCTGTCCAGGGATCAGACTTGTTTGTCCAGTACATTCCACAGCTGCTTAATTGGACTGCAGTCTGGGGAATCTGGGAGTCAGTCAACACCTCAAACTCCTTGTTGTGCTCCTTGAACCATTCCTGAACCATTTTAGTTTTGTGGCGGGGCGCATTATCATTCCAAATGAGGCCAAATGAAGGTGGTCTGAAACAGTGCTTAGGGAGGTGGTGCATGACAAAGTGACATCCATATGGTTGGCAGGACGCAAGGTTTCCCAGCAGAGTATTGCTCAAAACATCACACTGCCACTGGCGGCTTGCCTTCCCCCCATAGCACATCCTGGTGTTCCCTAAGTAAGAGGCGCAAATGCACCCAACCACGTGACATTAAAAAAATGTGATTATTTGGACCAGGCCACCTTCTTCTATCAATGCTCCATGGTCTAGTTCTGATGCTCAAGTGGCACTTTCGGTGAAGGACAGGGGTCAGTATGTGAACCCTGGCTTGTCTGTGGTATGCACCTCCATACACTGTGATGCACTGTTTGTTCTGACACCTTTCAATCAGAACCAGCATTAACTTGTTGATATGAGATACTCTAGCTCATCTGTTGGATCGGACCACACAAGCCAGCCTTGGTCATTGGTGGCCAAGGCTCACTGATGCACGTTCCCCACATGCAGCAGTGAGCCTATCAGGACCCTATCTCTGGTTCACCATTCTTCCTTCATTGACAGATACTGCAGACCGAGAAAGTCCCAAAAGAGTCTTGTCAAACTCAAATCCTTTTACATTTTGCCCTCAATTTTTTTTTAACTTTGAGGACAAAATGTTCACTAACCCACCCAGTAACAGGTGCAATGATGAGATAATGAATGTTATTTATTTCACCTGTCTGTGGCCATAATGTTTTGCCTGATTGCTGTGTAAGTAATTCAACCACATACTGAATACATGTATTCAAAACAAAAATGGAAAGACACTGCAGAAAAAAATAAAAGGTTGAACTTACTCAGTTTTGAGCCTTTAATAATAGATAAAATTGTGTTTTCAAGATTAGTGCTCTGGAATGATAATCATTAACCCCAGATCTGTTATTGGGGTTAATGATTTAATTAACTTGGTACTACTTCTTAAGCATAGGTCACTTACAATCAACAGGTCCAACTGATGTTCACATGGTTCAGCTGACCCTGTCTCATGTTGTGCCTGCTCACAAGCAGAATCGGGGCAAAGTGCATCTTGGGAAATGCCCAAAACATCAGGCATAGTGGCCAAGATATCAAGCTACAGGTGGCATAGGAGGAGTCAGAGGAAGATTGGAATGTAAAACCATGCGCAAATAAAAAGTAAAGCAAAACATAAGAATGTTTGTCATGGGAATTATTTCAAAATAAAAAGAATGATTGGTGTTTTAGTGAGGCATGTGATGGAGAAAATGTTTATCATACCTCAGCAATTGTCTCATCCACTTCTTTAATCTCAGGACGAGGAGTGTGCAGGCCGGCAGGCACAAACGCAGGTGCACTGCTGTCTTTACTGGGGCTACCTGCGAGTTCCACCTCCTCCACTTCTTCATCCTGCCATTGATGACTGTCCTCGTCACTAAATTCTGTCTGAGAAGCTGTGAGAGTGACAAGTTTACACTTTTTGGATTTTGGGGCCAAATCATGCTGTGGTAGGATTCTCTTCTTGGCTGCCTGTTGGGATTTTGGTTTAGCAGCAGATGCAGTGGACCCAGCTGCTGAGGCTGGTGTAGTTTCAGATGCAGAGGAGTGTACTTCATCTTTGGCTGGATAAGTCAAGGGCTTGATGGGTTTAGGTACTCTACCACATCTACAAAACAAAATGAAACACTAATAAAAACACTTTATTCATGATCAATAGGAATATTGTTCTTAAATCTATCAGCCCACCAGACAATGTTAGATGACAAGAAACCCTGTATTAACAGTATTGATAATTACAAAAAACATTTTCATATGTTTCTGTAATGGTGAATCCATCAGTATGTCTAAACTCTTTAATCAAAGTCATTTTTTAAATGCCAAGGAATAATTTTTATTGTAATTCATCAATTTTCAAATTTACCATCTTTATCAAAATAGTAAAGCACATTATTATTTTTTTATTAAGATGTCAAATTACAGCTATTTGCTTGCTTTGTGAACAGAAACATTTGTTTGATTGAATTAATTGATTAATTGTTTTGATTAATTGCTAATTTCTCCAAAAAAAGTCTAGTGTGCCGGCTGAAATCTGGGAATACAAACATGAATTCAGTTTGAAATCCTTCACTCCTGGACAAATATGCTGAACAAATATTTAATTTTTAGTTTTAAAAAAGTTTATGAGAGATTTCTAAAATATTTGTGTTTTCTTATTTTTTTGAAAGGTGGTCTAACAAATTTCTTAAGCGCTGGATACAGTGGATACACGGTCAGAATGGGAGTTCTTCAGTAAATTACATTCATGTACCTGGTAGGTCTTGGAGGTTTAACGATGGCATCCTCCTCCTCCCCTTCTGAGGAAATATCATCACCGACTGGCTCCCTGCTGGCTTGGCTTAAAGATGATGCATCTTTATTTACCTACAGTAAGTTTCAGTAAAGCAAAGCCAGTATTCATAAAAAGGTTTCAAGGCTTATAAACAGAAAGTGAAATAACCTTATTACAAGTTCAACCACTTACACTCTCATCTTCTTCATCCAATGAAGTACTTTTAGCTGTTGTACAAGGTGAAGGCTTTTTACTCCATTTGCGGCCTAAAGGCAGTAGTGGTTTTGATGCTCTGCCTCGTGAGAGTTTAGCTGGCTTGATTGCAGTGTCCTTAGCTGTATTTGCCTTTTGAGTTTTCTCTGACCTAAACATTTGAAAGAAACTGATTTTAATCGCAGAGATATGTACAAAAACAATAATGTTCACAGCAATATGATTTTAGTGTCATTACGTGTCTGAGTCTTTGTGGTTGTCAGGAAGCTCTGCCTCAGGATCTTCGCATACGCCGTCCTCATCTGAGAATTTAAAAGCAAAATAAAAATGGCGTGGCACTTTAACAAAAGCCAAGAAAACATGGGGAAACGAGTACTGATTTGGGGGGAAAAAAGTTACTACCCTTAATTTTCAGGAAATATTTAAAAAAAAACAAACAGACAAAAGGTAGTTACCACGAAATCACCACATACCTACATGTTTTGTAACAACAAAACCGCTCACAGTCCCTGTACCTTGCTCAGTGCTCACTCGTTTGGTTCTCTTGTCATTTGGTTCCTCATCCAGAACAACTTGTCTGTTCTTTCTTTTGCCTCTTTTTGTCTTAGCGTCAGAAACAGGAATTTCTCCATCATTACAGAGATCCTCATTCTCTTTCTCCCCTTCCTCTTCCTCCTCTTCCAACCCCAGGATCTCTTTCCCATCCTCATCCTCCTCATCTTCCTCCTCCACATCACTCAGTTTCCTTCCCGATTTTTTGGCTGTAGAAGGAATAAGAGCACATAGACTTTTGAATTGGGAAGAGCTAAAGGAGAATTCCCAAATATTCACATACAGCCTACAATGATCACACGAGAAAAGAAATTACGTTGACGTATCTTACCTTTTGTCTTTCTCTTGCCCTTTTGGGACGATTTCTTCTCAGACACTGATCTCAGTTTCTTCTTACTTCTCTGATATTCCAAAATCTTTTCTAACAGCTTAGAGAAGTACTCTATGTCCAGTTTGCGCCTCTCTCCTACAAAACAATCATCAGCCAACTTAAATTAAATTTAAGAATGTACACACAGAACGTTAATCATTCGGTTATTTTGATTCCAAAACGTTTGGCAACTGTGTAAAATGTGAAGGGAAAAAAGGGAAAAACATACAATACTGTGAACACTTGGGATTCTATAATTAACTAAACAAAAACACAGAACTTTGTGCGCGTGTGTATTTCCCACTATGCTGCATAATCTCCTCTCTCTCTAGTTATGTTACTAATTAATATTATATTCGTTCTTTTTTTGAAATTTGATATATTGTCTTTTTACCATTTTCATTTAAATATAACCTTTAAATGACATACGTGAATAATTACATTTGAAGATTATTACTAAATACTTACTGATAGCTTTGTCAATCCTCCAAACATTCTCTCGTTCTTCTTTCTTGAATTTGTTCTGAAAGATCAAATTCAAAATTGCAGTTCTGTGTATTTAGTTCAACTTTAAACTCTTTCTTCTTATCATGCATACTTGTATTTATCGCTGACCTTTATCTCTGATCGAGCTCTGTGTGGAAACAGTTGGCAAATCATAGAAAAATCTGTCCCCACCATGCTAACTGCCAGGAAGAACATGTCTGTCTCTGATGAAAACAAATTTAAGAAGAAAAGTCACAAAAAAGGCATCAAAACAAAATAATAAAAACACTTAATATGTTACCATATATGTGGCTTATCTTACCTGATAAGCCACTGTATTATAACCATTCACATGTGAAGTGCACAGCATCGACTGTGTGGTTATAATGTTATAATTTTCTGCATTCAATTAGACACATGCCACACTCTTAACTATTACTGCAGACTGTATATAAAAGATGGCTTCAGGACCTGAAAAGACGAGTCAGTGCAGACAAGCCTTTACCTGCAATAGGTAAAGGCTTCAAAACAGGACTTTGCTAATCACCAAATTATATACAGTATCTATGTTGCAACAGTCCCTGACAGCAATAGCCTCCTCAGAAGAACAATGCTGCCTGCAACACAACAAAAACTGCTCAAGCAGGACTCAAGGAAAATAAAAAAAGAACACAAGGAATTGATCCAACCTAAGAACTCCTCAGATCCCAATCTGATAAAGTATCCGTGGGACGGGGAAACAAGACCCATCACACAACCCACGGATTTGTTTCCAATGTCTCGTGCTTTTGCTCTGCAAAGCCAGTGCTGCTTTGCATAAGGTTCCTTTAATATTGTGGCTGTCTCACCTTCGCTGGTCCAGCGTTTTGCATGGTTAAGTTTCCTAAAACTTGAGTAAGTTGTAGTGGAGCCTCGTTCAAAGATGGGGTCTCGATTCTCTGCTGGGTTTGGCCCTTTGGCTCGCTGGACTTCCACAGTTAAGCTGAGAGATAAGATGAAAGGGTTTTAAAAAGCCTATAAATGGTTTGAACGTTCTACAATATCACAATAGGAAAGCAATTATTTTATATGGATGTGGCAAAATAATAATAAAATAATAATAATAATAATAATAATAATGCATACTTTATTAATCCCCTGTAGGCCGATTACTCTCTGCATTTAACCCATTGACTCAGTGAAGCAGTGAGCAGCCACCAATCCATCACAACGGTACTTTGCTCAGGGGTACCTCAGAGTAACAGTTCAGTGGATTCGAACCACCGACCTTCCAATCATGGCGCGACCACTTTACCTAATGAGCTATCCCTGCCTGGGGATACAGATCAAATGGTCTACAAATCTCTACTAACCTCTCTTCGTCAATAATCAGTGAGCCATCTTCTGCAACTTTGACTTGAGGAACCATAAGTGCTTCTTCCTGCTCTTCCTCTGCCTCCTCTGCTTCTTCCTCTGTGTTGCCCATGGTATTAGGGGGGATTTCAGGTTCCTGTGCCTGCTCTGGAGACCTTCAAACATTAAAAAAGAAGAAGAAAGAAAATAAAGAAAAATCAATTTATTACAAGCAACTGGTATACAAACTTTCTACACATTCTGAAACGTGCAGCAAGCCACAGCTTTTGAAAGACAAACTGTTTAAAATGCACTGCTGCCTCCACATTTAAGTACACCAAAATGTTAAAACACTTAAACCAAGTTCTCTGTTGTATCAGATGTGCAGTCACTTTGCAGTGATTCAAACAGACTGAATTAACACGTGAAAAGAATAATGTTTGGCTGGGACAAACTCAATTCTAGTGTTCAACTTTGTTTTGTTTCATTCATATTTTTTTTCATAATACTTTTTGTGATGAAAAACTGTGTTTATGACTCTTTCTTTGAGGAACAACAGATGATCAGCAATTGCACACAGTGAGAACATGATTCATGTGTGTCCTTCTGCAGCATTAAAAAAAAAAACATAACTTTTTAAACTTAAATATTATAAGAAAATGTGACAAAAAAAGCATGTCAAACATTGAAGTAATTTCCATTTGAATTACAGGCTTAACATAGACAAACCATTTAAAAAAAACATGATTTAAAGAACAGGACAAACATACGCTTCTCTTCCTGGTGAAGGTGGGAGCAGAGTCTCATTCTCTTGGGTCAATTCTTCTACACCAGATCTGGAAGAATTTCAAAATTCAGTTTTCTCAAGTAAAATCACTGTTCGTCAATATAAAACATCATTAAGTGAAATATATGGTACATGGACTGGACTGTTCTACAGGAGCGTACTTTATGCAACATATCTCATTCACCCATTTACACACACATTCATAAAAGCACATTTTTGCATCTAAGTGCTTTCTACCTAACATTAACACCGATGAACACATCGGAAGCAACTTGTAGCTGCTTGCCAAGGATACTTTAGCGTGCACAATGGAGCAGTCGAGCATCAAACCACCAACCTTCTGAATAGTAGACAACGTGCCTCCTGCCTGCCTCCTGAACAATGGCCTCCCCCATACTTTAACATCACATAATTACATGAATTTCACAACTTTGCAAGATACTCACGTCATTGGGTTAGACGTTGGAAGATAATGGATAAGGTCCCGCATAGTCATTTTGGCAGGATCTAAATTAAATACCTTCGAAACAGCCTTAGCTTTCTTAAGTTTCTGCAGAATCAAATGACATCACACCTTTCAGTTAACAAATCATGATAAAGCTAACAGTTTATATCTGATGAATACATTATTTAACTCAGACACCTGTGAAAAGATGGCTAAAAATGCTTAGTTAATGACAAGGACTCACTTTTTCTTTGCGTCTCTCCTCTCTGAGCAAATCTCTGAGCTTCTGAGCCTTCACAAGCCTTTGTACGTCTGATGGGTCATTTAGAAGTCTACTCAGGGAGAGTGCCGATGGTGTCAGTGAAGGCACAGTCTTTGATGATGCAAGTGTTTTGGCTTTCTCCGATAGTTCAGTAGATTCTTTGTCTGGTATGGAGGGTCTATCTGGTGGTCTGGGAGGAGCTTCCTTAACTTGTCTGTCTGAAATGTTCTCTGATTGTTTGCTACTGTCTGCTGGAAGATGGGTTTGTTCTACTGACTGTACAGCTGAGGAAACAGCTGAAGATTCTGAAGCGTCCAAAGAAATGGAGGTGGGTTTAGGTTGAATTTTAGGCAGCTTGCCGTCTTCTGAAGGCCTGCGTCGCCTTGGAGACTGGAGTCCCTTCGGAGTTGCTGTTGTTCCCGTTTGACTGGATGCTTTTGCCTTGTCAAGGCCCGCACCAGAGCAATCAACAGATGTTTGAGAGACTGCTTTGATGGGAGACTTTGGTGTCCGAGAGAGAGCAGAGGGGCGGCCAGGGGCCACTTTAGGCTTAACAGAAAATCGTTTCCTTCTTTGGACAGCCACTGAAGAGCTGGTACCATCCACATTTTGCTCACTGCCATCCCTAAACGGTAGTAAGAAAAGTTATTGTTGTCAAACATAACAAATAGTCTTAAGGCTTCTAAAATAATTCAAAGACACTTTACTTTAAACTCACACTGAAGCTGCAGCTTTTTCTGACAGGGTAATGTCGGACTTATCCGTCAGAGCACTAGCATTGTTGCTGTCCCCAACCTCTCTCTGGGCCTCACTGGCCTCCTGATTTGCTGGAGTTGCTTCTGGAGGTGCTGATCGCCCTGCTGTACTTACATTGGGACGCACACTAAATCTTGACCGACGGAACATTTTGACCTGAAAGCAAAGCTGCATCATTACTGAACAAATAGCCATGACATCAATCTGCAAATTAAATACTGCTAAACTCCATCTAACGCCCTAATACGCCATCAAAATGTATTCAGGTATTGTAAAGGTGCTCTGGAAATCAACCAAGAAAAGATGCCCTTACAGAACAGCAGTCACAGGTGGGGATCTTTTTCTGCACCAAATCTCATCTTTACATATAGCTTTTCAAGAAATTATTTGCTAAATAGAAATGAACACAAACATCTCTCCATGGATGGAGTTCGACACTAATATGCATTTGCTTCGTCTCAGTGTTGACAAAAAGCAGCTTACTCTACTGCAGCTTAGGCATATTTCGCCTACAAAACAATAAACTTCGCCTGCACAAAAAGTATTTAAATGATCTCTTCTTTTACTTAAAAATGCAAAACTCAGCTACTTTGTTTACAGGGCTGGTGACGTCGACAGTCGAGAGGCCGTTAAGTTTGATGGCAAACGCTTTAAAATCACTCGGAAACACCGCCAGACGTGGAATAAGCCAACAAACACAATTTAAACCAGTGAAAATTACGCAAAATGCAATCTTAATGGTGGAGAAAGACTGGCAAAGTGCATAAACTGGACTCAAACTCGGGTAAAAACAGTTTTAAGCGTGACGCTCTGCATGCGTTGGGTCGCCCGTTTCATGACGTTTTGAAGCTAAGACCGCTTCACTGATATTTTTTATCGCGTCCATATCTTTTACTTTACTTGTACTAACGTACCTGACTAAGAATATGTCGTTTTGTGGAAGAAATAAGCCTTCATTTACCGACGAGAAGTGGTAAGTAGCGGACCCAAAGCACAGGTTAATCCGCCATGTTTAGTGACGTAATATTTTCCTGAGTGAAGGGGGTTATGGGAAATGTAGTTGGGTTCAAAGAGTTGGATGAGGTAAGACCGCGATCTCTGTAAGCAATCCTGTCTGCGCTTTACTAATAATAGTAATAACAACAACAACAAAGAAAAAGTAACAAAAGCTTTAGTGTAAAGTATAAAATATGTCTGTATGAAATGTAAGTATAAGAAAATATGTGATTTTAAATTGTGCCTGCCTTCCCTCCACCATGTTTTATCTCCTGAAAATAACCCATTTCTTTTAATTTCTTTGAGAAACAAACTAATATACATATTTAAGTAGCACGGAAATATTTGATTTTTTATGGTGGTTTATCAGGTTATGTTTACATGTAAATGTAGTCTTTAAAAAAAAGAAACCAAGATTCCAGAGTACTAACTATTATATAACTATAACTATTAACTGGTTTAGCGCTACCCATTACTATAAACTGATTAAACCGATAGAATAATAACTGGTCAGCCCCATGACTGACTCTAAATCTGTGTAGGATTTATCTGTTTGGTTTAGGTAAGCAGGACCTCAAACAGGACCGTGCCCAGCAATTTCTATCAAAAGAATTAATCCTTATATCAAAAATATATTGATTCTCATTCAGTTTCCTCTAATTAATCTGATTTAGCTCACTGTTTTCAGAAAGATCTTCTTTTGGTGACTCCGATTATGACAGATTATCCACCTCCACCTTTCCCTAGCATCCTCTTCTGCCACACTAACCTTCTGCGTGTCCCCCTTCACTGCATTCATCAATCTTCTCTTTGTTCTTCCTCTTTTCCTCCTGACTGCTAGCTCCATATTCAACATCTCTTGTTATTCCTCCTCTACACATGTCCAAACCACTTCAATCTTGTCTCTTAAACAGCTCAACCTAAGCTGTCCCTCTGATGTTCTCCTTTCTAATGGTGTCCACTAGGGTTGCCACGATTAGTCAACTAGTCACGATTACGTCGACTATCAAAATCGTCGACGACTAATTTAATAGTCGACACGTCGTTTGAAGCTTTGTAAGATCCCAAAAGACGCAGGACTAAGTAGTAGGATTTAAGAGTGTAATAACGGACTGAAACAGAAGATGGCAGCACTGCATGTACAAGGATGCCAGCTGCCGTTAAACGCCGAAGAAGAAGAAACTGTCCCAGAATTCATAGCGCGGCCCTGCTCAGTTTCCAACAATGGCGGCACCTAGTTAGTTTTAATATTACTCTTATTATTCTTTCTGGGTCACAAAATAGACGTTTAACATATTTTCAGACGAGAATATAGCTGTGTAAACCTCAAATATCTGCTCAGTTTATCAAGACACCACATATTTTCAAAAGCGCTCCGACGTTTTCGGAGAGGTCTGTTACCCACTAGCTCGTTAGCTAGCCGGGGTTACAGGCTCACTAGAGCCGGTGAGAACACCGGACTCCTGGCAAATCGTTTTCAAACCCACCGCTGTCTTTCGCTACTCAGGTTAAACATGATATATAAGTCACTTAGATAACTTAAAAATGTTATTATTTGGCTTTTTTCAGTATTTTATTTGTTCCTGAGTAAATCAGTTTGGCTGAGATTAAAGTTATAGTTTTTACACAGCTGAATAAACGTCAAGCAGACAACTGATTATCAGAAGTGTGAGATGCTCGAGAATATACTCCGGTGTCCTGTTATATTTTAGATAAGAGCAGAGGCGAGTTTATTAAACTTCACCGAAACAATCTGCAAATTTCATTAAAATTTAATAAACTATCATCTTGTCTTTATTTTTAGTTAGCACATACCTTAAACACTTAAAGCTGTAAGCTAATGATAGTTATATAAGAGCAGATGCTGCTGGTGCAATAAGCTGTACGTTTTACGTCCAATGGATGATGATCTGATTAGTCGACTAATCGCAAAAATAATCGGTGACTAGTCGACTATCAAAATAATCGTTTGTGGCAGCCCTAGTATCCACTCATGTCACTCCCAGTGAAAATCTTTAGATCTTCAGCTCTGTCGCCTTTTTTTTTTAGTACCACTGTGTCCAAACCATACATCCAGTGGTGGTACTGGCCTGTTTGGCGCCCTGGGCGAACACTCCCCCCCCATACACACACACATATGAAGAGAGAGAGAGTATGCATAGTATGCAAACGGCTACCAAACAGCCATCATAATTCGTCATACAATGAGAACAGGACAAATCAACAATTGACAATGACTAATTAATATTAAAATCTGTAACATAATGTATTGTTTGGAGTTTAGTCTGTTACTGTTACTATTTTTACCATTTCTTCTTGGAGCAACTGTAACCCACATAATTTCCTTAGGGATTAATAAAGTATTCTGATTCGGATTGTTTCAGGATGACCTGCCATTATCCAATGTCCTGTATCTTTCGTTTCTCCTCCTCTTCTTTTCTCTTTTTTTGTAAACTGAGCACCTGATGGCTTTGAACTGTTCTTGTCCATCTTGGTTTTAATTTTGCATTCCAGTATGAACACCCATCCCCCAACTCGAGGATCACCACAACATAACCTAATAGACCTACACGTTAGTTCACAGATTCACTTTGTCTAGAGTTTATTTCTGGGATTTCACACAACCCAGTATTCAAATCATGAATACATAATGGGCTTGGATTTACAGCATTATGAATGAAATGTGCTCTATTTGGAAGCAGCCCCCTCACCTTTCGATGTGTTGTGTGTGAGACTATTTAAATTGTTATTGATCCCTTTACCCCTGGTCCTAAAGTGTATATTTATTTTCTTACTCTTCTTATATTATTGTTTGTTTACTTGCACTGCTGTAACTGGAGCCTCGTCGTCTCGTCTCTCTATATACTGGACTGTATGTAGCGGAGATGACAATAAAGTTTACTTTGACTTCAGCAGCGAGCAGGCGCACCGAGGGCTCTCGCGCTCACTTTTCGCGTATAGAATTTCGAAAAAACATCGGTGCAAATTATAAGTCTGTATAATGATGTCTGGTGTTTTCGTGTTTGTTGGTTTGTTTTTATTCTATTTTATTTTGGGGGTGGGTTATTAGACGCTGCTCCAACCAGCGAGAGAATCCCCCGCCGCCCCGCCCTCTCCTCCCTGTACCGCAAGCAGCAGGCGCACCTCGCAAACGGAGGGCGCCCTTACTCCCAGCAAATGGGCGATAGAAAACCGATCGGTGCCTATGGCGCGATATGGCAGCCTCGCTTCTGTCAGTCTGCCCCAGGGCAGCTGTGGCTACAACCGTAGCTTGCCTCCACCAGTGTGTGAATGTGAGAGTGAATGAATAGTGGCATTGTAAAGCGCTTTGGGTGCCTTGAAAAGCGCTATATAAATCCAATCCATTATTATTATTATTATTATTATGCCATTCACAATATGTGCTGGCATGACGTCGGGGCAGCATGAGTACAAGCAATTTTTATTTATTTTTTGCTTTGCATGCTTGACCCTAAGTATTTAAACTCATCTACCTTCACTACCTCCCCTCCTTGGAGCTTCACCTTCTGACTTTCATTCTATACCTCCACCCAGGAAGGTTAAATTAAAGTGGAAAGAAAATAGAAGGAGTGACATAATTAGGAGGGGAGAGCTTCAGAAATTCAGGTAAAGCAATGGCTACTTTGACCATTGCTTAGTGCTAATAGCTAAAGTGTAGCTTTAGCTTTAGCCACATGGACCAAAAATGTCAGGGCCATTTTTTTTTTGTCCCAGTCCAGCCCTGCCTCCATCTCTCCCTTCCACCTGCTCTCAATATAGAGCACAATGTCGTCTGCAAACATTATAGTCCACAGAAACTCCTGCCTGAACTCATCTGTCAGCCTGTCCATCACCACTGCAAACAAAAAGGGGCTCAGAGTGGATCCCTAATTTAATCCCCCCAACTTTGAATGCATCTGTCACTCCAGCTGCACACCTCACCTCTGTCCTCATACATCTCCTGCACCAACTTCCCTTCCTTATGTAGAAGTGAAACACCACAGTGCTTTCTCTAGACCTACAAGGACACAGTGCAACATCTTCTGACCTTCACTATCAACACTCTGAAAGCTGTAACTCTCTTTCTCGGCATGATGGCATACCACTGCTTGCTGATTGTCAACTCTCTTTTTAACAATTCTTTTCCAAAGCTTTATTTTATGACCTATTAACGTTACCTTCTGTAGATGCTACAGCTCTGCACATCACACTTTTTCAAAAGTTAAAACTTGTACCAGTACACTTCCTCTCACTCTTCAGGATTGTGTAAAACAATTTATTCAATGAGTCCACAGTTCTCTCAAATTGGCATCTCTATACTTCCACAGGTAAGTCATCTGGGCCACCTGCCTTTCAAATCTTCATCCACTTCATAGCTGCCCTCACGTACTCCCCACTAATCTTCTGTACTTCCTGTCTCCCTCCCATTTTCTTTGTTTATCTGTGCCTCAAAGTACTCTTCTAAATCTTCTCTCGTTACTGGTTAGTACATTTCCATTGCTACCCTAATCCCCCTAACCCGCTGCAAATCCTCTCCAGCTCAACCTCTGCCTAGCCAGTCAATTCAAGTCCTTTCACTCCTTTGTAAGTGTCCAACCTTACATACAAGTCATTATGAATATTTCTACTCCTTTCTTTGCTGTACACCTAGTACAGGAGTACCTAGTCCGAATACCCTTGTCTACTTTCTTCATCTACCTGACTCCCTTTTTCTTTGTCAACCTCTTCTTTTGAATACTTTCCTGTATACTTCCCCACTCCACCACTAAGTTTTCTTGTTCTCTTTCCAGAGAATACATCAAACACAGTTTGAATCCACCTCTAATACTCCTGGCTTTGCCTTCCATCTTGGTGTTTCCTAACACACCCTCTCTCATCTTCCAGCCAACAGTAGCACAGTTTCCACTAACACACAGCTAGCTAACAGTACCAGATTGAGTCACTGTTAACCCAGGCCATTACTGATCTAGTATGAAGATCTCCTTCCTGATGTTTGCTTTGGCAATGACTTCATGCTCGATTCCCTAACTGATGCAGCCCTCACCAAT